AAGATTTTTGAAGAGATAGTTTTGGCCATTATTAGAATTGTGATGATACCTTTTGAGATTTTAACTGGTGTTTTTTACTTCGTTTTCAAATTTTTAGCGTTTCAAATTTTTTGACAGTAAATTTCCGTCTTTGGAGATTATGGGATTGCGGATTAATGACTCAGATTTGTCCTGATCCCGAGTTCATATTCATTGGGTCAATGGATAATTTACACCTCCAGTGTTTATGTTTTTCTTGGTGTATACATAGATTTAGCTTGATGATTTAGTTAGTAGATGAGCAGTATTGTGATCATAATAATAAATATCTGACATTCAGATTTTTAAAAAAACTAGCTTTTAGTTGATGCATTAACATTTTAATAATATAGTTCTTTTATCTTTAAAAGGTTTTTGAAGAGATATTTGTGGCTATTATTAAAATTGTGATGATAATTTTTGAGATTTTGGTGTAATTTGGTTTTTAATTGGTGTTTCTTACTTAGTTTTCAAGTTTATAAAGATTATGAAATTTGGAGATTAATGATTCAGATGTATTATGATCAAAATTCATATCCACTAATAGGTAATTAAGTGGAAGTGCAATTCTATCTATAATGTATCATGATCAAAACTTGTGTTTTTCTTGCTGTATTCGTAGATTTACCTTGGTGACTTAATTAGCTGGTAGACCGATAGATATCTGACATTCAGATTTTTAAAAAAATACTTTCTAGTTGATGCATTAACATTTTAATAATATAAAAACTTTATTTTTCAATTGTTTTTGAAGAGATAGTTTTGCCTTTATTAGAACTGTAATGATAATTTTTGAGATTTTAAAAGGTGTTTCTTACTTCTTTTTCAGATTTTTAAGGAACATGAAATTTGGAGATTAATGATTCAGATCATGATCAAAATTAATATCCACTAATACGAAATCAATGAAAGTACAATTCTATCTATAATGTATCATGTACAGAATTCATATCCATTAATACGAAATCAGTGGAAGTACAATTCTATCTGTAATGCATCATGATCAAAATTCATATCACTAATAAGAAATTAATGGAGGTACAATTCTATCTGTGATAAATAAATTTTGTTTTAATATTTTATAATTTCAAATTGAATAATTTAATTAAAAAAATTTTTAGCATAATATTTGATTTGCCAGTTAGCTAATTTTAACTATTTAACTAAGTGATGAGCAATGAAAGGATTAAAACCTTTTTTTTTTTTGAAAGTAAAATTAATCTACAGTAAAAAATATTTCCTTTAAATAAAAATTAATTCTATTCAACGTCATTCTCTCATAATTTTCTTTTAAATATTCTAGATCATTAGTGGTTTTTAGGATTTTAGAATATTTTTATTTCTACAAATAACTATTTTAAGCGATATAACATTCTGAATTAATGACTCAAAAATTTTAATTATCTTAAATTTATATTTATTATAGCTGTTGGATATTTAGTTCTGTTTTAAGATTTTTCTCCATATATTTGTTGATTTGGATGGATTACTAAGTTGTTGAACCAAGAGGTGAATAGTGATACGATAGTAATCAATTTTTAATAAAGTAAACATATTTGATATTCGGACAAAAAAATATATAAAAAAATATCAATCAATATATATTTCAGATCAATAAATAATTTCTGTTATATTCTTGATTTTTTTACATACCATTTCTAAAAGCAATGTTTGTAGTTATTGGAAAAGGATGAAGGTATCGGAAATAGCAAGAAATTTATTATTTATATAGATTTAGAAATTTTATGATTCTGAGTTATATTTATTGCTAAAGATTGAAAGTTTACTTCTATGTTAAAGATTTCTGTATAGCTGACATGCATTTGTATGATTTGTATGAGTTACTTGAGGTGAAGAGTGTTTTATGATTGTAAACTCTTTTTAATAAAGTAAACATAGTTGATATTCAGATAAAAAAAAATATATATTTCTGTTACATTCTTGATTTTTCACATACCATTTCTGAAAAAATGTTTACAGTTATTGGAAAATGAATGAAGGTATTGGAAATATTAAGAAATTTGTTATTTATATCGATTATGGTAGTCTTAGATACATCGTGATCCTGAGTTACATTTATTGTTAAAGGATGAAAGTATATTTTTATGTTAAAGATCGCTTTACAGCTTACATGCATTTAGTTTAGTTACTTAAAATGGCTGGACAACGTAATGAAAAAGGCCATGTAGTTAATTTCCTTTTGAAAACTAGAAATGTCAGTCATTCATAAAAAAAAATAATAAAGTAGTGTACAACATTTAAATTTCAGAAAAAAATCAATTATATTTAAATCTATTTTTTTACAAATAATTTCTGAAGATCTGATTTGATTAGAAACATTAAACAAACATAAAACATTTTTTGCAATTATTTATATATACAGTTAAAGCGTTGTATACACGTTTTAAAGCTATTCATAATAATTTTTTTTGTTGAAAATCAAAAAATATATTTAAGTGAATTGTTGCTTACATTTTTAAATATGTAATTTATCAAATAAAAGAAAACATTGAGAAAGAAATGAAGAGAAATAAGTGGAAACTAATGGAATTGTACCTTAGATTTATTACAATCAAATTAATAAAGTATTATTATTAATTATTCTTCAAATTATCCATTTTACTTTTGTACATGATGATGCACAATTAAAAGTTTTAATATCCATAAATTACATTTTGATTAATACAGTTGAAATTTCTTTTATAAAGAAAATGAACTCAACGAATAATATTTAATGCATTTTTGTTTTTCTTTCTTTCTTTTTTTTAAATTTATTTTCTTTGTTTATTTATTTATTCCTTTTTCTGAATTTTTGTGTTTATTTGCAAAATGTCCATAAAAAATTTTTCCGTTAAAATCTAGATTATTTCTAAGAAGTAGGAAGGGAGTAGTGGTGGTTTTTGTTTCGCATATGCATGCCAAAAACACCCCTCCTATGCGGGATGAAAGAAAAACGTTGCTTTCCAGGACGACGTTTTGGGATAATTGTACCACATTTTAGCTTTGGGAGAAAAATCGGAAAAATCCCATTAAAGGTTGTGGCAGACGCCAACAGTGAGTTTAAAACAAGAGGCCTTCATCAGGCTGCACCAAATATCCTTCCCTTTTCTTCTTCTTCGTTAAAGCAATATCCCCATGGTGGGCCAAGGTCGCCTACCTATTTACAGACTTACGTCCAATATTCTATAATCATATTAGACTGGGGCCTGCGGTTTTAAGTTGGTTCCGAATCACTACAATCATACATAGCACAACCGAGACTCGAAACCGAAACCCAGAGCATTACTCACTTAGCCATCAGGAAACAAAAATTATTCTTTAGGCTCGTAAAAGTCAGGAACAGGAAGCGGATTAACTCTCCACCAAAATGTTTGCATGAGGATAACTATTCAAAATAGTACTAGACAATGTAGGGATTAGTAATTTCCCTTTATAATTCATCCTGGGTAACATTGAATCTGTTGCATTTCTTTCATTCTAGTCGTGCCCGATTTAAAACATTTCCTCATATTCGAAAACAGCAACATGTTCCAATCAAAAAATGAAAAACTACTTGGTATAAAAATTAACATGGTTTACATATATATATATATATAAAGAGAGAGAGAGAAAGAGAGAGAGAGAGAGATAGATAAGTATTTATAAAAAATATTTTAATAAAAAAAGTATTTATAAAAAATATTTTAATAAAAAAAGTATTTATAAAAGTTTTGTAAGTAATGAGATGTAAGAAATGCAAATTAAAAAAAAAACATCTCTTACATAAGGAAAAAGAAACTTCTGTATAAGATCCAATTACCACAATAAATCTCGAACTGATTCTAAAAGAAGTGGCATATAAATGTCAATATTATAAAATGCTATTCATAGTATCCCATTTCTTCGTACAACAAACTTTCCTGAAGCACAGAGAGAAAAATTATCTAACCCTAATTGCCTATTGTATGGAGGTGGAAAATCCATTATTAGTAACAAAACTGACAAAGAACTGAAAATAACCTCCCATTATCTCTCCCATTAAACAACAAATAAATTATTCATTAAATTCGTCAATAAGGTCCCAATAAAATAAAAAAAAGGAAAAGATTCTTCAATTCCTTGTTTCTTTCAGTTGATACATTGCACTCAATTCAATGCAATTTTATTCAATTGCGATATTCAGATGATGCTTATCAATGTCATTGTAGGTTTCCCAGCTTATTGTGTTTTAATTTCTATTGTTTTACGAGCAACCTGATTTATCTTATCTTTTAATGACCATCAATTTTGAGATGTCCACTTAGAAGGGGGAGGGGAATCACTATGGATTTTTATTTTATTAACATAAAGATGCCATTTGATTTGCCTACTTAAATTTATTTTTATATAAACGTATGTTATATTAGATTACTTATAATTTATATAGAAATATTATATTTTTCTATTGTTATAGATTTAATAATTATATCAAATTGAAGTTTTTGAGATTTCATGCGACTCAAGCATTATGAAAGCTTATTTTGCTTTAAAAACATTAAAAAAAAACATCTCTTACATAAAAAAATGAAGTAATATTGCATTTCATTAAAAAAAATTTAAATATGGATTATTTTTCTCATGACATTTTATGTAAATGACCGAGTTAAAAAGTTGAATTTCATCCAGATATTTTTCTTTACATGGAATATTAATATCAAATTAAAATCCTTTAAGAAGAGTTGTTGTTTGTTTTGTTGTTTCTTATCCCACTTGGCTGGCCAAGCCCCTATGGACTCATGATTGAAGGGAAAGGAAGCAGCTTCTGTTGTGATGGAGCACCCGTAGGTAGAAGCCTGACTTTTGCTCCGTGACGCTCTTACAGTCATAGGAGACCGGGACCTACGGCTTAAAGTGGATTCCGAACCACTACAAACATCCATGGCACCGCCGGGATTCGAACCCGAAACCTGTGGCACCGAGCGCCAGAGCGCTAGACACTCGGCCATTCAGGTCCCAAATTTGCCAACGGCACGCGGTGTTCCCAGGTGGTCACCCTCCCAAGTACTGACCGCGCCCAATGATGCTTGACTTCGGTGATCTAACGAGAACCGGTATATTCAGCATGGTACGGCCGTTGGCATTTAAGAAGAGTAAAACCAAATATCATATCAATTGAAGGATTCTTACGAAAAAGATTATTACGTCCTCCTGGAAAGCAAAGTTTTTCTTTCATTCCGCATAGGACATGTGAAACAAAATCACCACTACTCACTTCCTACTACTTGAAAATAGTCTAGATTTTAACGGAAAATTGTCTTATGGACATTTTGCAAAATAAACACAAAAATTCAGAAAAATTAATAAATAAATAAACAAAAAAATAAATTTAAAAAAAGAAAAACAAAAATGCATTAAATATTATTCGTTGAGTGTAGTTTCAGAAGTTTTGTGAAAAATGTAATTTAACATTTTCTTTACAAAAAAAATCTCAATTGTAATGATCAAAATGTAATTTATTGTCATTAAAATTTTTAATTGTGCATTATCATGTATAAGAGTAAAAATGGATAATCCATAATCTATTCTGTGTTGTAGTTATAATCAATGTATAATGTTTTTTATATCAAAAGATTTATATAAATTAAAACGAATAAAACTTTCTGAAGGGCATGGTGTTTATTCTCATAGATTAAAATTCATTTCAAATTCTCCACACCGTTTTCCTTGTGTATTTGAATAGACATTCAATGAATTATTCAAATTTCCTTGACACGAAAAAAAAACCCACCGTATCTGAACCCTGTCCTTGGTGAAAGTGATTTTAGTAGTCGTCTCTTTATTGCTTACAATCGTATCTGAATTACAAGAAATAGTACACTTTTGAAATGAAATCGGCAAATGTTTTTATTCATAAACGTGTATACACATTATCAATAGAAATTATAAATTGATTTCTTGATTTCATATTTAAATATATTTGAAGCGAAGATATTATTTTTTTATTGATTTAATTTTTGTGTAGCAAACTCTATAATGGTTATATATTATATATATATATATATATATATATATAGATAGATAGATAGATAGATTTTGATTGTATTTCTACGAAGCACGTGATAATTTGCATTTAGGGGATTTTGTTATGCAAAATAATCGAACTTTTTAGTTCCTTCCTTATCCATTCTGTTTTGATTTTTTTATTTATTTTTTACATATATATTACGTGAAATAAATTATGCAATATATAAATATATGCTAAGCTTAAAAATGATGAATGAAATTGCTTCTATTTCTTCAATGTTTTAACACTCATGTCTATTCACAAATTTAAGTATATCCAAAGAAGTTTTGTAATTGTTAATGCTTTATGGAGTAATAATTATTGTTATTTTATTGAGCGTAATTTTAAAATGGAACATACTACTATCTATTTTTAGACACTTGTTAGACATTTGTTTAGAAGACATTTGTTAATGGCTAATGTTTTGCTAGCCAGCATACTTGAAATTCTTACTGCTGGAGTAATAAGTAAATTACACGAATTCGAACCATGTATTCAGGTTAGAGATTTATTAAGAAAAGCTCTAATTTCTTATTTTGCAATTAGGGAGACTAATTATTTTTCTAACATATAAATATTTCTTTTTATATATATATATATATATATATATTTATAAAACTATAGTCATTTTGTTCTATGGGCAATGGGCGTAATGGTTACGGAGTTCCAATGTGGTTTTAAGAACTACTAAACCTCCACATCTTAAAATATTTAATTGAGAATATAAAAGAAATTTAGTAAAACATCTCCAGTTATGTGAACAATTAAAGCAGGAGCTCGAAAAAGCAAAAGCTACAGGTACAATTATGTATCCGTTACACTGTGCGCCCCCCCCCCGAAACAAAAAGTAAAACGAATTATAATATTTTCGTGTTACAAAGTCACACAGGCTTGGTTTGTCGCTGTACTGTAATTTTTTGCACACTATGGGCTAATTAGACTGGGACCTACAGTTTAATGTGGATTCCGATAGCCTAACCCATCGGCCATTAGGCAGCAAAAGTTATACAGGACAACACAGCAACAGAGTCATACAGTTTACAGAATGTGTTAATCCTTCATCAAAACCAGTAAGCTTTAAAAAAAACCCCATTTTTCACATAGCATTTTAAAATTAAATTGAAATATTTTGAAATAGGCAGCTCATACGTGTCCCAGCTTCATCGTTCCCACAATTAACACCCAAAAGACCGATATCTTTTTAAAATATCGGAAGCCTTGTGCAAAGAAACAACTCTACTTACCTTCCATCTTTTTTTTTCTTTCCTGTCTCTCTATTTGTCAGCTTCGGGACTCGCTGAAAACAAAATGGGCCCTGCGCACAATTCGCAATCTCCTCATAACACTTAGCTATCGCACAGTGGCTTTAATAACAATCTTTATTGATAGACAAACTGCCCGGGCAATCAGTCGTGAGCGATAATTTTATGACAGCCCCCCTCTCAAGAAAGCAATATTCCCTCGTTAAGGCCCAGCGACAAGATTTATGACCCGTGAAGGAACAGGGGACCTGGCAACAGGGGGATCGGCCACTCCCCCTTCACCACCCCTCTTTATGTCCCGAGTACCCCTGGGAGTTCATCTCTTCAGAAAGTTTGCACTGTTTTAATGTGAGCCCGTTTATTTACCATTAGGAGACGCGGAACCATAGATTTTTAGTTGTTAGGTGTTGCCCAAAGTCCATAGATCTTTTCCGAGATCGCACATGGATCGAATGGAAATAGATGTAAGACTGGGATCTAATGGATTCTAATTGGAGACTCATTGTGGGGATACTTATTAAATTACATGGTTGTTTAATAATTAAATGTTAGTATAGATGTAGTGATCTGAATTTCTAAAATATCGAAATGATATATGATATATATAGATCATACCTAGATTGTAAGTATATCGAATAGGAATAGGCCACTGTAATTCTAATTCTTGTTATAATAACCTCAATTCTAATTGGTGGAAACTTCTGGTTGCAATTCTGATTGGTTACTACGCTTTCTAATTCTAATTGAAGTTTATATTTTTATTTTACAATAGTTATTTACTTACTTGGAATATAAGCATTTGGGTGTTACATGTTAATGAAAATCTGTAGATCTTACAGAGATTGCAGATAGATAAAATAGGATTTAGGCAGGTGGATCATACAGGATTTAATTCTAGTGAATTCTAATTGGCGATCCTATTTATATTCTTATTCATTTAGGAGCAGCAATCTGTATTTGATGTTGCTGTAGATCTGTATATAGACATTTGGGTGTTACACGTTACAAGAAATTTTGTAGATCACACCTAGGTAGCTGGTATATCAAATAGAAACATATGACTGTAATTCTAAATGGTTACTACACTTTCTAATTCTAATTCATTTTTATTTTAAAACACTTATTTACTTACACGGAATATAGACTATTTAGGGTTACATGTTACTGAATATAGGTGTAGGTCACACCTAGGTTGCAAATAGAAATATGTGACTGTAATTTTAATCGGTTATTACACTTTCTAATTCTAATTAGCGATTATATTTTTTATTTTAAAACGCTTATTTACTTACACGGGATATAGACATTTTGATATTGTATGTTACTCGAAATTCTGTAGATCACATCTAGGTTGTGATTATATCAAATAAAAAGAAAGATTTTTAGTTGTTAGTTGTTGGCCAAAGTCCATAGATCTTTTTAGATCGAATACAAATAAATGTAAGACTTGGATCTAATGGATTCTAATTGGAGACTCATTTTCGGGATACTTATTAAATTACATGGACTTTTAATAATTAAATGTTAGTGTAGTTGTAGCGATCTGAATTTCTGAAATCTACAGATCATACCTAAATTGCTGGCATATCGAATATAAATATGCCACTGTAATTCTAATTTTTATTATACTAACCTCTCACTCTAATTGGCGATTACTTTTTTTTATTTTAAAACGCTTATTTATTTACATGGACCATAGACCTTTGAGTGTTATACGTTACTGGAAATTTTGCAGATCACATCTAGATTGCGAGTCTATCAAATAGCAACATGTGATTATACTTCTAATTGGTAATTCTAATTGACGATTATATTTTTATTTTAAAACGCTTATTTACTTCTACGGAATATAGTCATTTGGATGTTATAAGTTACTGTAAATTCTGTACACCTAGGCTGCGCGAATATCAAACAGATTTTTAGTTGTTAGGTGTTGCCCAAAGTCCATAGATCTTTTCCAAGATCTCAGATACATCGAATAGAAATAAATGTAAGACCTGGATCTAATGGATTCTAATTGGAGATTCATTTTGGGGATACTTATTAAATTACATGCACCTGTAATAATTAAATGTTAATGTAGTTGTAGCGATCCAAATTTTTAAAATCTGTAGATCACACCTAGATTGCTGGTATATCAAATAGAAACATGTGACTGTAATTCTAATTGGTCACTCTACTTTCGAATTCTAATTAGAGATTATATTATTATTTTAAAACACTTATTTTCTTACACTGAATATAGATACTTGGATACATACATTACTGGAAATTCTGTAGATCCCACCTAGATTGCGTGTATATCAAATAGAAATATGTGACTGTAATTCTAATTAGACTTCGAAACTTGTAATTTTAATTGGAATTCTATTTTTTTTTTGTTTTAGAAAAATATAATGGGCAATTACATTTTTATAAAATACTTATTTACTTACACGGAATATAGACGTTTGTGGTGTTATACGTTATTGGAAATTCTGTAGAGCACATTTAGGTTGCGATAAGCTTTCAGTATTGAGATTTCTAAAAAACTTGGATCCACAATGAAAGAAGATACTATATTACAAAGCTATTTTATTTTTAAGAACAAATGAAATTTAATTTGTCTCAAATATAACATCTTTGTTGTGATTAAAAAGAACAATTTTCTTTAATGTTCCTCAACAATTCTACAATACTTTGCTACCTTTACATTTAGCATTGTTATATTTATAGAATTTTTTCGTAAGCAAATTCATGATATAAGGATGTCTTTTAAGTTGGTGCAAATACAACTCTTTTAAATTTATGTACAATATAAATTTACCTTC